CTACCACGTCACTAAACTCGCCATGTCATACACCCAACCCTACCCATGAACCAACCCAATAAAATTATAAATGGAGAAACAGAGGGGCCATTTTTCCCGATCTATCTCCTTCTTCCCTAGACTCTTCCTCTTCCCTTTTCTGCAAAATTCGTCCAAATTAGGGTTCATTCGTGTTTGTATTGGGATGTTGGTCGAATTTAACAAGATAAGAAGCCATGGAAATCCTCCCGACGGCATGGAAGCAATCACAATGTCTTCGTCGGAGGCAGAGGGTGATGATTCATGGCCAAAGCTGTTGGATAAACTGACGTGGATATTCTTTCCCGTCTAGGGACACTGATCGAAGCAACAAGATGCAGCAACCTCCTCGACAGACGGTTGAAAAACACATGCAATCGATCGATGGCAGAGCTTTCGATTTTGACATTCGTACCGGTACTATCCCGCCGCTAACCGTGTTGGAAGAATCGTCCAAGGGAAGACAAAAAGCTCAACGCCGTTTTGCAAGACGGGTGGACCAAGCCCTGCATTCGCATCGCTCCAGTACCTTGGACAATTAGGGTTCATTCGTGTCTGAAAATGGCTGCAAACCGAATCTATTTTGCAATTTTGTTTAGTCAAGTGGGCTCAGGTTTGTTTCTGGGTTGGGATGGGTGTATGACATGACGGGTTTAGTGACATAACGGGTCGGGTTTGACCATTTTCAGCCTAAAACAACGTTGACTATGCGCTCACGTTAGCTACGCAACGCATAATGGACTTCATTAACGGAGTTGGGCAGAGACTAATGAGGAGTGACTAAATGTGACATGTTTCAGTAACTCGAGTGACCAAAAGTGATATTAATTATTTTTGGTGACTAAACATGACACGATTTAGTAATCCTAGTGACCAAATGTGACTTTTACCCTTTATAAAATTGTGGGATCAAGAACCAAATCACATTATATTCAGTTTGGTTTGGTTTGGTCTGGTCTGGTCCTATGCGGTCGGGTAAGGATCAAACTATTGCACACTCCTAAATACCATTTTGAGTAAATACTAAGGTTGTCAACCCGGTTAATACCGTTGAGTAGGTTTAGCAAGTGATATAATTCGAACCGGGTACAACCAATTTATGTTGGTTAGGATTTAACCAAATATGTATAAATATGAAAAAACCATTTACCTTGTGGAATGTTTCTCACTCAAGTCCTTTATGTTCCTTCTTTTACTTACAATTTGGTTTTTGAAATAAAAATCATCCGATCTCTTGGTCTTTAAATCCATTTTTTGTGTCATTCAAAACATTATTACTTTGAGGATGGTTGGTTTAGCGCAAGTGGATAGAGATAAATGCCTATTTTTAGAGTCTAAGAATGAGGAGTTTGCCATCCATAAAGATTCTCAAAGTCTTACAACAAGAGTTTTCAATTTTCAGTAAGAATTTTAATATATGGCATGCCATATTAGGTCATCTGATCCATCTTTGTCTGCAATGAGAGATGTTAAGCACAATTGTACTAAGGTTGTTTTGCCTTTTAACAAAACATTGTGATGTTTGCCATTTGGAAAAACAACAAAGATTGTCATTTCCTGCTATTAGCACTCAACCTTTGCATTTTTTCATGTTGATATTTGGGCCCCTTAATACAATTTGAAGAGATGGTTTTTCTTATTTTCTTACTGTGGTTGATGATCATAGTTACGGGTGGCTAATCGGTTTTCAGTTAGCGGCTAATCGATTGGTTTATCGCTAACTACAGTTAGTGGCTACCCAATAGGTTTAAGCGTTAACCGCCGATTAGCGGCCGAAAAAACGACGGCTAGCATGCATCGGTTGGTGGTCAGCAAGTGAGAGGGGCTGTTCAGGTAGCCGAGTAACCGGAGCCGGCTAACCGACCTTCGCCCAATTATTGCCAAAAATATACCGAATCCCCCAAATAAAAACAAAACCTAGCCCTAAATCATAAATCATCACTCGTCCATCCATCCTCCACACGCCTCCACCCTCCGCGACGACGTCGACATCTCCACTCACCGACCAGGAATCCCTGCTTCTCCGTGACCCCGGCCGGCCGCTCTCCCCCTTACTCTTCTTCCCCGATCGCACAGAACAGAGGCAGGCCCTCCGGTGGCCCCCGCAACTCCGACCCTCAGCTCCCACCAACAACCCCGCTCCTCCTCCTTCGTCTTCTTTTCCGTGTCGTATCCTCCCCCTTCGTCTTCTTTACTTGTTAAAACTGACCCGACTATCACAATTTTGGTTTCACGGCTATCAAAGCCCAAAACCGTAAACCGCTCGGTCGGTGGGTGATTCAGGCTCAATTGTATCCTTTTTATCCCCGACTTTCTTAGTCGTTTGAGACATTTTTACTCCCGGAGGTTTGGTTTTACGCTGGGTTTTGCCTCGTTTTGGTGTTTTTCAGAGTGTGGCAGGTGGAACCAACCCCAGAGTCGAAAGTTGGACGAAAGGGCAAAAAATCAAGTCAAAGGATGGAGGAAGCAGCATATCACGGTGGGAGCTGCGAGTTCACGGTCACTAAGACTATGAACTGGAGCCGCTAGTCGTGAACCGCCAGGCGTCCAGAGCAGTTTTTAGTCTCAGTGAACTCAAGTCAGTTGTCGTTGCTCGTGAACTGAACTTAGTGATGCGACTCATTTTGACTTGAGATCATGGTCCGTGCTTTCAGTTCACGACCGTGAATTGAGACCGTGATCTGAGCCTGATCTGGGTATATAAGGAGGTTTAAGCTGAAGGAGAAAAGGGGAGAGACCTAGTGTGAGAAACTTCTTCTTCTTCTTCAGATTTCTTGAGTAAGAAAGTGACGAACCAAAGAAGAGAAGAAGCTAGGGTTTCATCTTCAAGCAAGGATTTGGGAATTCCTCCCCCCAAAGGAGGATCTCTTCAACACAAGTAGCAAGGTTAGCATCTCCATGATGGTTTTCCTTCTTCTCCCTTGTGTTCTCCCTTCTCCTAGCATGCAGTAGTCCCTTCTTTCACTTGAGTGTTTGTAAACCCTAGCTACAATTATGCGAATGTTTGTATGGATTGAATGATTAGTGTGTGGATAAGTTTTAATGTGAATTTTGGAGGTGTTTTCATGAAAGATTGTGTTGTGTGTTTGCCTATCAATCTTTTGGCCATTCTAACCTACGTAGAGAGAAAACTCTCTTTCTTTGAAAGAGGCTTGTAAAGCTGGATTTTCTTAGGCAAATCCATTTACTTTTCCAAACGTTTTAGCCATAGATCATTGTTCATGAAATGAGTCATTGAAATTTTAGTCATGTTTGCCATTATTTTATTGGAGTGATTTTGTTCTCCATGTTGTGCCTACTTGATCAATAGAACACATACACTTCTTAATCACAAAACCCCTTTGGAGTTATTGCACGAAATTCCTCCTAATTACATGAGTGTTAGAGGGTTTGAATGTTGGGCATATGCCACAATTGTTGAGGGTCATAAACACAAATTTGATCCTCGTGCCAAACAATGTGTTTTCTAGGACTATTTGTTTGTATTAAAGGGTATAAATTGCTAAACATAACAACTAAACATGTGTTTATTAGTAGAGATGTTGTTTTTCATGAGAACATTTTTCCTTATAAGCATTTTCAATACTTCTTCAGTTGGAGATCAATTAGATCTTCCTTCTGCTCCAATGTTTTCTTCCTGTCTTGGGTGTTCTTCCTATTCAGAACCCCTTCCTTTCTTGACCATGAGTTAGTAGTCTTTCCTTCTTCCACTACTACAACACAATGACATTCATCACCTGTTTTGCTTTCTTATGCATCTGAGTCCTCATATAGTGATCTTGATGACTCGCCTTCCGCACATTCTTCTACTCCTCTTTGATCCTCCACTTCCCAACATTATCCTATAGTACCTAAGAAAATTCACAAGGCATCGTTTTCTAAGAAGTAAGATGACCTCTATGTTGGTTCCACTCAAGTCAGTTCTTATCCCAAAAGTGTTCTCTCTGATCTCACTGATCTCATCCCTCAACATCAACATTCTCCAATAACTGATATTAGACTATTAGTCCACGAGAGAGTTTGTAACCCATTGATAAGGGTGGCATTCGGTCGGTTTGGTTTCGACCGAACCGAAATTATGAATACCGGGTCCCCAAATTCTCCCAAATCTCAAACCGAATTAGAACCGAATTATCGGTTTAAACCGAATTATAATTTGGTTCGGTTCGGTTTTTAACCAAAAACTGAATTTATGAGGCTACTTGTATCTCTCACTTTTAAATTATTTTTCACCCCTAATATAAACAATAAATATGCAATTATATGCATCATCAATGATAAATCAAATATTTCAACACATAAGTCATAAAATATTTCAAATATTTAAGTATAAAAACAACTACAAACATAAAAATCCACCATTTGGAGGTTGCAATTATGGTATTTCGGTCGGAAATTCGGTTCGATTGAAAGAACCCTGGTTTCCGAAATATCCATATTTTCCTTCCAAATTCCAAACCAAATAGCATTATTTCGGTTTTGGTTCGGTTCGTTTGAGTTTACCGAACCGTTTGCCCACCCCTACATATTGAGCTAAGTTTCGTATTCCCTACTTTCCTCATGTTGTAGATTCCACATAAGAAGATTTTTACAATGCTATATAGCATTGGTGCTATAGGTTTTTACCTTTATGGTACAACTTGAAATTGTACCTTTAATGTTATGGTACAACTTCAAATTGTACCTATACTTTTTGTACAAATTCTTTTATGGTACAACTTAAACTTGTACCTTATGTGATGGTACAACTTCAAGTTGTAAAATTGTACCATAACATAATGATACAAATTCCTTTATGGTACAACTAAACTTATACATTTAATGTTATGGTACAACTTCAAGTTGTACATTAAAGCACCAATACTATATAGCACAGTAGAAGTGTTCTTCCACATATATATACACATTAGCTAGGGCAAGGACGAGCAGCAATCGCCATTCAAACCCAATACCGGCCAAATCCATACAATCAACATATCCAACTCATATCTAAAAAATATATGAAAAAAATAATGCTAATTCTTGGGATCCAAGAACGTGCACGCACACATAAAATACCATTCAATATTACATGCTTGCAACTGTATCAGTTTAGTGCTCCAATTAGTACACTCTCATACAAGACAAATGTGGCGTTCGTACTGATATCTATACTTCCTTACACATATGTAGCCGTTAATTAATCACTTCTAGCCACATATATTGTATCTGCAATATTCCAGAGTGTGTATATATATGCTAAATTTGAGGTAAAATGCTTTTTCATGCCCTTTGCCCCTAATTAACTCGCTATCCTTTGACTACCTGGGCTTGGACAACTGGATAGCCTCTTGGTCAACGATGCTGGAGTCGTCGGTCCAGAAATTGGCGAAGTGGTGGCCGTGAGCGAACAACATCGAGAACTCCTGCTGGTTCCTCACATCCTCAAGCTGCTCCCACTCGGCCCACCGCTCTTCCAGATCCACCCCTTCCCCTCCTCCGGCGAGCATCTTCACCACCTCCCCCATCGTCGGCCGCTCCTCCGGCGAGCTCTGCGTGCACAGCAGCGCCACTTGCACCATCCTCTCAACCTCTTTCATGTCGCAGTCTCGCTCCAAGTTCCGGTCCACGATGTCGTCGAGCCGTTTCTCCCGTACCACCCTCTTGATCTGTCATCGTAAGGATAAATTAAGTACCATCGAAGTCAACACACTTTTGGTTCACAAAACAAATTCGCCACGAAATCTAAAATAATTTGAATCATTGATTGCACGCTAATCAAAATAATTTGTACCAATAATTGTGTTACTTATTCTGATTTAGCAACAACTCTGTTAGCAATCAAAGTTAGTGACCAAATCTTGGTGACTACAAGTATAATGATCATTTATGTAACATGGATGAATGAGACTAAAATATGAACGTTTACTAGTTTAGCTTGGGATGGATGGTATACTCACATGATCGAGAAGCAAAACATCCTCTTCCTCCTCGAGCCGCGACAGATCGATGGCACGCTGACCGGTCACAAGCTCCAGCAGCGTGATCCCGTAACCGAACACATCCGTCTTCTCCGACGACTTCCCGGTGGACAAATACTCCGGCGCAATATGGCCCATCGTGCCCCTCACCTGAGTGGTAACATGCGTCATCTTCGGGTCCACCAGCTTCGCCAGCCCAAAGTCACCCAACACGGGCTCCAGCTCCTCATCCAGCAAAATATTCGCGGCCTTCAGATCCCGGTGGATAATCTTCGGGCTACAATGCTCGTGCAGGTAATTGAGCCCATGGGCCGAGCCCAGCGCCACTTTTTTCCTCGCGGCCCAGTCCAGTCCCTTTTCACCTGGCTTCAGCTCCCTCAGTCGATGCGCCACGCTGAGATTCCTCATGTAGGGGTAGACCAAAATCCGCTCCGTCGCGGTGGTGCAGAATCCGATGAGGCGGAGCAGGTTCCGGTGGACGGCGACGCTGATGAGCTGGACCTCCCTCTGGAAAGCGGCTTCTCCGCCGGGGCTGCAGTTGTCTGCGAGGCGCTTGACGGCGACTTTCAGGTTGTTATCGTGGTGGGAGAGGACGCCTCTGTATACCTTGCCGAACCCTCCTGCTCCGATGACGTTGTTGTCGCTGAAATTGTTGGTCGCCACCTGGATTTCTCGGAGGGAGAATCTCCGTAGCTGCCCGAAGCAGCAGATTTTGCGCTCGTCCTCGCCTATGGAGTAAATAATTTGATTGATTAGATTTCAGATTGTTGATTTTGGGATGGAATTGGTTTATCAGGGTTTGACCGTACCGGCGACGTCGAAGAAGATGTCTTGTTTGAGCTGGCGGCGGAGGCGATAGTATCGGCATCCCAAGTAAGCGACTCCGATGAGGAGAAGTAGGAAGCCGGCGGCGGAAGCTGAGAGAATGATCTTGAGCCTGGACTGCTTGGTCTTGTTTGCTGCATGTAAATATTGCCTAGGGTTTTTAAGTCCTGGATTCGAATCCTCTGCCATTAAGGAATGAAGAAAATGATTGAGGTGAAGGTAGGTAGAAACCTGCTGCTGCTGCTGCTACAGCTCGGAGAGAGGAGCTAGAAAGGCAAGGTTGTTCCTTGGTAGAGCCACATCCAAGACCTGTTGCTGTGAAACTGAAAGAGAAGAACCCAGAATTTAAGACCCGATCAAAGCATATTTAGGTTTTGGCGGGTAACAGGGGTTTCTGCTCGATAGTCAGAATTGAAATGGGTGAAGGCTAGTTAAACTAACTTGAAGATTCCAACTTTGAACAGCTGCTTCGGTACGCTTCCCATCAAAGCGGGGTTTGATGAAAGATCCCTGATCAAAGCCAGAGCAGAATCTTAGTGGAGAAAATGATAATCAACGAGAAGCTAACAAAGCCGAAAATGGAGGTTCACAACTCACAGGCGGTTTAAGCTCGAGAGGTCCTCCCAGGTAGTTGGTATGGAGCCGTTGAAGCTGTTGTTTGCAAAGTTGAGAACCTGAAGGGTGGTCATGTTGCCAAGGTAGTCAGGCAATGGACCTGAAAGTTGATTGTTCTGCAAATCCCTGCATCCATCCATTCAGGTTTAATAGATGAGATCAAGTAGTATGATGTCGCGGCGGCAATATCATGTAAGCTTTGACAATAATCAGTGATTGCAGAATGGTTATGTCCAACTTACAGACTAACCAAGGACCTGAGCCTAGTGATTTCAGGGGAAAGAGTTCCAGTGAATCCCATTGAACCCAAGCTCCTGCATATCAGTAAAGGGCAGTCAATATTGTGAAGTAACAAAAGTGGCTGATAAGAAAGTATATGGTTAGAAGTGGGCATACAAAGAGATGACACTTCCATTTCTGCAGGTGACATGAGACCAACTGTTGCAAGGGCTGACGAAGAAGTAATTCCAATCTGTGATTTGGCCGTTGGAGTCATTCAGCGCCTTCAGAAGCTTAATCAACGCCTCACCTGACACGAGGCGAATGTTTCAGGCTGCTGATAAGAAACAGGGGAGATACATAGAAGCCTGGCTATGGTGCTTACCTTCAACATCAGGCTGCTGGGATGCATAGCTGCTGGTTGTGAACAAGTTGAGAAGCAGAAAACAGCTAAGCAGCAGCTTTAGGTGACGGCACCCGCAAATAGCACACCAGTAGCCCAAACCAGCTGGTCCAGCCATGTTCATGGACCTCCTTTCGTTACCACCATCTAATTGTCCCATTGAAATGAGAACCAAGTCAGATTAGTTGTGAACCCCCAGAAGCTAATGGAACAGTATGGCACAGGTATACTATTACTAAGGGAAGAAAGACCAGACTAGTGATTTGCAACAGGTGACAGAATAACATGTAAGAATTGAATCAAAAGCCATTCCAGTTGAATAACCAGTGCAAGTGTACCTTGCAATACAAGTGCAGCCATGTCAGACTAGAAGCAAGCAACCATGATGATGGGAAGAAGAAGAAGAAGAAGGAATGGGAATAATTGAAGAAGGAAGTTGAATATTAATCACCTCCATTAAGGATCAATGAAGGAGAAATAAAGATGAGAGAATTAGTACTGCAAAGAGGGCCCACACCCACCCACACAAAGCAAAAAAACATATAATAAAGAAAGATGAAAGATTTGTATCATTAACATTTCTTTTCTCAAAAGAAAAAGGTGGAATTGTTTGTATTGTGATTGTAGTTAAGCTATAGAAGGGAGAGGAGTAGTAGCCAATTGCTTGATTGGGTGGCATGAATTGACTCATCTTTGGGGGAGTGTAGTTGAAGGTGTTGTTGATGCATGGTGGGAATCAGAATAAGAACACCACTCCCCGATTGGATTACTCAGCAGTCATAAGTCAAAACACAGCCACAGCAAACAATTCTCCTCTTTAAGATTCTCTGTCTTAGTTGCCTTGCTTCAATTAGGCGATTCTGTTGTATGTTGATAAATGATAGCAAGTATTAGCCGATAATCGTCTTCTCCACGCGATCTTAGATTATGGTGAAAAGGTGATTAGATGGTGTCAGCTCGTACTAATAATAATGTATTAGTATATATATATGATAATGGAATTTGAGATCATACGAGAAGACGATCATATACTAATAACTAAACCCTTTCATTTAGCTTTTACAACAACCAAGGTGACAGGTTGATATCACATGGACCACAATCAGAGAGTGTGTTACTCATATAATGACTAAGATCATATGAGAAGACGAAGCTTGTACTTACAACCCTCTCGGCATAATAACCAAGCCTCTTCATTTGTCTTTTTTTCAGTTTTACCCTCAACCGAGATCATATGGAACGACGATCATACAGTGTCAGCTCGTACTTACAATTCCTATCAGCCTAATAACCGAATCGTGAAGAGAGCACTAGAAGAGTAGAACTACGATTGATGAGCTGCGCATGTTTCAGTTTACATGCATATAACTACGATATTTCTATAAACTAATTGCAGATACTTGTAATATCGGGTACAATACAGAGCAACAAAAGAGGAATAAGAGACAAATGGTAGTGTGTGATGCAATTAAAGATGCTCCCCCTCTTAAGTAATGGCACCCAAAAGTGGAACTCTCATCTTTTGTTCTCTCACCTTTTTCTCTGCTCTGCTGCTGTTCTATTGAATGCTTGCTGGTTGCGGTATTCATTCCCCCCACTCCCCACTGAAACAGAATATTAACGTAATATATTAACACAAACAGAGGAAGCGCACTTGGGCAACAGGGGAAAGCTAGTTTCATCAGTCTATCCATACACCATTGCCGGCCGTCATCTCCTCCCATGTTATACAGAAGTATTCTTCTTTTGCATGTATTTGTATTAACAAATGGATTTATTCATTAAGTAAAAGGAGAAAAAGGATGCCTGATGATCCGATCATCTTTGATCAACTTAGGACACCCCAAAGGGACACTTACACAGTACAAGCTTATCCGTATGATCAAGTTGAAAGCAGCTTTTGCCTCTGCCAAGACCAAACTGCCCCTTTACGACTTTGCCAAAGCTAAGGAACACCCTTTTTTGGTACTACTTTGCGGGTGTAAGTTGGAGATGTATGATTTTGCTTTCTGGTGTGATATAGTATATCTTGGTTGGTTTAGTGATTAAGAAAAGAATAATTGGGAAATTTAAGCCACTTTATGAACTTAAAGTATGAATTAAGATAATAGTACTACAGAAATGAATTAAACATGGGAATTTGTTAATCTAGTAGATTATTGGGTTAATACCCTAGTTTGGCCTAAGTAACTGTTCTAGCCGAATTTTTCTAATAAGACATTTATGACCTACTTTTGAAATTATTAGACAAATTTGACCCAAAATTTTGTTTGACCGTTAATATTAACAGTCAAACACTATTTCGTTAGTGACTCAGCAAAAAATTGCTGATGTAGCAAGCCACGTCATTAAATAATATTATTTTAATTTTATAATTCAATTAAAATAAAAATAAAGAAAATCACCGCTTATTATCCCAAATCCCCAAAAACCCGAGTTTACAAAATGTGTCATGTTTAGTAACTTTAAAAAATTAATATCAATTTTGATCACTTGAATTACTAATTAAGTCACTTTTAATCACTCTCGGATAACTCCTCTTGTTCCCCTATTTGAACCGATTCGACGCAACCTTTCATCTTCTTCCTCACCTAGCCGGAATCCGTTCCCTTCTCTGTTCCTAACTCAAAATGGAAGGGGAAGTTGGACCCGTCACCGCTGCGCCGCCTCCCTCGCTGCGTTGATGTCTGATTCCCTCGGTGCGCCGCCTCCCTCGCCCCATCACAAATCCTTTCTGACTATCCTCACACGTCATCACCCAGCTGGGTTGTTACACTTTCCTTTGCAAATCCAAACTAAATCAGTAACACTCGAACTAACAACGCTTCAAGGAGCAAGGAGAAATCAAATTCATTTTGATAAGCAATGCAATCAATTGATCTTAATTCGTTTGGAGTGATACAAGGACAAAGGAAACTCGGTGATGCACAGCTTTCTGGTAAGCCAAATAGAAATAGGGAAAAGGAAAGTCGGTGAGAGAAACAGAAGGGATATCTGAAAGGGATCTAGCGATTTCAACCTAGAACTCGACTGTTCAGTCTGGGTAATTAGCATAAATGGTCACAAACCTTTGCACTTAGTACAAAACAGTCACAAACCTTTAATTTGTAACCATTTCATAACAAAACTTTTTACTTAGAACAAAATGGTCACAAATTAAACAGTGTGACCATTTCATACCAATTCAAACTTTTGTTACCGTGTCGTTGCAAATTAGACTTTTGGTGACCGTTTTGTACAAATTAAGTTCAAAAATTTGAACGCTCAATCACTGTTACAATTCGCTCTAGTGTATGGTGGTTTTGTTAATGTATGTGAATGATATGATCGTCATAAAGGATGACATTGAGAGAATTCAATGGCTCACAAACGGGTTCCAGACTGCTTTTTAGTTGAAAAAACTCTGTCTACTTTCTTGGTATCGAAATTTGTTTTTGAATAGATTGGTATCGAAATTGAAAGGTCAACTGAGGGCATTCTTATTTGGCAAAGCAAATATGTCGATGAGCACATGAGCTGACATCTTATATGTCGTTCAAGTGGTTAGTGTCATATACTTAACGAACAAACTACCCGACCTCAAAACATGACAAACATTTAATTTGTAACGATTCGGTAACAAACCTTTTCATTTAAAACAAAACGGTCACAAATTAAATAGAGGTGACCATTTTATACAATTTCAAAGTTTTGTTACCGTATTGTTACAAATTAAAGGTTTGTGACCGTTTTGTACTAAGTGCAGAGGTTTGTTACCATTTATGCTAATTACCCGTTCAGTCTGAGGGGAAAGGTTCGCCATCACCACCCGTGTTGAGAACAACGACATTCTATCCTGCTTATCTCTCGAGGAGAAGGAACGATCTCCATTGCCACCGCCTCCGCCGTTACCGGGATGGTGGTGTCGTGAACAACGACCAATTGAGGTGACGAGACGAGATGACTGGAGATTGGGTGGAGGGAGAGGAAGAGAGGGAACGGCAGGGATGAGTTGATTGATGAACAGCGGCGGATCCAGAACACAGAAGAGCACTGGGCCGAGTTTCATTAAAAAATTGAATAATATAAAAACATAATGATTATAGTTTTTTTCCAATGTAAATTGTACACGACGGTATTTTAATTTAGTGATGCATCAATAATGGAGCCTACATCCATACCAATAGTATACACTGTTTCAAATAAAATACTTGAGCAATCGGCGAGAAATTCATCGCTCATTTTGTTGAGCAAATCAGTTCTCACATGTTTGATTGTTGAAAAGGTTCTCTTCGTAGTAGTTGTTGAAACGAGCAGCATCAACACTAGACAAATCAATCGACTAATCAATTGGCATTGTGTGTCAATCCCTGCATCCACCAACTGCTCTAGTAAGTTTTCAAGGGAACAAACCTCATATTTCTTTTAGTCGTTTACGTTTTAAACTTTTAGAATTTTAGGTTTCATTGTTTTTTTTATACGCTTAATCTTTAGGGCTAAAATTTAAAGGCTAATTTAGAGTAGTGATTTGAATATGGTCATCTAAATCATTTTTCTAGTTATACCCAATTTTATTATAAAATCACACTAAGTCGAATGCCTAAAATCAAAAAATTCATAAGGACTATACTAACTACGGATTTAGAGGAGGGCTGGGCCGGGGCCAGGGGTGGCCACCCCCTGGATCCGCCACTGTTGATGAAGTAAAGGAAATGAGGGAGTGGGATTCGTAGCTCCAGGGAGTTTGTGGCAGGGGAGATCTTGATGGGGTGAAAAACGAATTCCGGTTTGGTGAGGTAGAAGAGGCAGGGCCAAGCCGGATCAAATAGATGAACAAGAGGATGGGTAGGGTCATGGGGAGAGGATCAAGTAGTAACTTATATGGTGAGTAACCATCAGTAACTTGTCCACATCTGCATGACATCAGCATCTCCTCTTTTCTGTAAAGTCTTTTATTTTTTCCCCATTAATCTTTAACGGATGATTTCTCTCTCGTTTTAAGTCGAAATTTAATTTTTTTACACAAATAAATCAGATTAGTTGTGCTCTTTAAAATGATATACACTTTGATATATTTTTAGTACAAAAAAATTGAATAATTTTTTGCCAGTCATTACCATATGGTATGCTCGTATTTAATACCATATGGTAAGAAAGGGTACCATGATGATATGAACATACCAATATGGTAAGAAAGTTGAATACATGATAGTAGGAGTATACTAACTGTCATTTACGACTTTCATCATTCTTTACCACAAGTTACCACCCACATACCATAGTGGTAAAGTATGGTAATTTTTTGTCCAGTATTTTTTTCACCCAAAAATTTGTAGATCCAATAGATCATGATGAACTCGTTCCTTTTGAGCAAACGTTTTCAAAAACGACTTAAAAACGAAGAAGTTACCATATGGTATGTAGTTGGTAAAAAAAAATCTCGAAATATATTGAAAATTGATATCATTTTGTTAGAGCACAACGAACTCGTTCGATGTGTGCAAAAAAAATTGAAATCCGAGTTAAAACGAAGAAGATAAGAGTCGATTATGAAAACTAGAGAAAATAAAATGTCTTTAATTGACAACCCTTAGATCTGAATTTTCTTGGCCCACTTAGATTTAAAGGTCCAGATTTAGTTACTCATAGGTCAGTAACCATTGGTTACTGACCCTATCCTAAGTCGGGTCATGGGGTGGGTCGATGACGTGGCAGGTCGAGTATAATTTTTTTAGAAAAATAAGCTGATTAGAAAATTCTGTTAGCCATGTCAGCAAAAAAGTGACGCTATTAACAGAAGTTAATGGAGAGTGACTAAATGTGGACTGTTTCAGTAATTCGAATGACCATAATTGATATTAATTTTCTCTACTGACTAAACATGACATGTTTTAATAAACTCAGTGACCATACGTGGCATTAACCCATTATTTTATATATGGATTATTGATCAATTCATACTCCTCTAGTTTTCAACCTACAACAACGGCAACAAAGCCCCAAAATAATCTTAACCCCCAACATAATTCTCAAAGAAAAACAAACTGTTGATTTGGAAAGAACATACACTTTTTAATCCTCTATAAGTTAACATTAGTAAATATACCTTTCAATTGAGTATATATGTTTAGTTGTTGATAGGCTTGAGACCTAATAATCTTGTTAATCAAATCTGTCCTTTTCTGAAGAACATTGATCAAGAAAATCAAAATGGAAGTATTATCCTGGAAATCACAAAACATTTCCTAATAGAAAATTTCATTTTTTATAGGATCTCAAGATAGTCGTTCGAGAAGACTAGCGAAGCATGATATAAAAAAGCATTATAGAGCTTGGTAGAAGGCAACATTTTGAGTGCGAACTTGTGAAGGATTATGTCTGCTCTAAGAGTGTGCTATGTGTTTAGACCTTCCTAAGATTGGGTGATAAGATAGTGTAGGAGAGTTTGAGTGCAGCAATGTAACAGAGTTTGTGAGAAGAGAGTCAAGTGATAATCTGAGTTCATCAGCACAGAAAAGGTTTATAACTCTACATGCGAATGAGTTCAACTTGTGGTTAGAATCTATAATAAGAAAATCCTCGAGACTATGTCTCAAGTGGCAGTTACCGTTGAGCTGATAACTAAAGCAAAATGGTTGAACTCGATTAACAAAAAATCTCTGTGTTGATTTACCTTTCCCGCATGTACTTGTGCTTGTGTTTGACATCGATCTTACATCCAGTAAACAAAGCAGATTCTCTGGCTTTTCTTCAGTTGCAACTATGGGGGAGAAGAATTTAGAATTTAATTCGGGTTGAGCAAACTACACATGGTCAAGTCAAGCCCATTCACTTGACTACCTAGCCCAATTCTCAAAGTGAATATGCCATAGAGTTTGAATTTAGTCAATCCCTATCCATCATGTACTCGACCTCTTCCCTCTTACCCTCTTTCAATTTACTATAACTTTGTGGATTGAAGTGTGCTTGATTTTTCCAAATTAACCTAGTTAATTCTTCTATAGACTTTTATTTGGTAACAGAGCAATCCGGGGATGGGAGGAACTGCTCCCTCAATCAAGATGCTATGCTACCTACCTCCTACAAGTCAAGTTGAAGGACACTTAGCCACAAGACCACCCAAAATGGAAGGGAATTACTATGCCTTCTAGAAAGGATGTATGGAATATTTTTCCTCAAGCATATGAAGGTGTGGATAAACATCAAAGAGGGACAGAAATAGTCACCAACTCCATGAAGAATCGACATGTGAAGATTTGGCAAAACTCCAAATCAATGCCAAGACCTAACATATTTTAAAATGTGCTTTGGGAAGTAAGGAATAAGAAAAAATATGCATCGCAAGTTATCCAAAGAGATCTGGTACATTCTTGAGGTAACTTACAAAGGAACTTCTCAAGTTAAAGAAACGCGTTTGGGATGCTAGTGAAAGAAAAATGAAAGTTTTAGGAATAATGAGAATTTGAATATATCTTAAATATATGAATGATTTGCTAATATTTTAAGTGGATTGCTCATTCTATGAAAGATTTATTCAAATGCAGACCTATTAAGCAAGAATCAAAACTCACTACCTAGAAGATGGAGACATAAGGTCGCTATCATTGAAGAATCTAAAGACCTATCAAAATTGGGATTCGGTGAACTGATTGGATCCCTAATATCACATGAATATTTGCTAAGAATACTATAAAATGAGCAAACTAGAAGGAAAAGGGACATAGTCTTGAAAGTACAGACTCGAATAAATTTGGATGATGAGGATGAAATGAAAAGACAGATTGAGTTCTTCACCAAGAAACTAGACTATCTTAAGTACAAAATAAATCAAAGGTTCAATTCTGAACAACAAAATGAAGATAAAATGAACTTTAGAAGAAATGAAAACTTGAACTCTGGTAGGTATGAAGATAACAAAGGTCAAATGAACACTGAGAAAGGGGGTGCTACTTGTATTTGGTGTGGGAAGACATGACATCTTAGGTTATATTGTCAAAACAACATGTTTAATTGATAAAAAAAATCTTGGTTGCACTTGGAGTTGCAGTAAAGTAGATTTTGATGACTGTGATAATGTATTTTATTGGGTTTTGGGATCCAAAGTGTTATGCAAAATCAGAATTGTTGAACAAAAGGGTCGAGATGGCTTGGAAAAGGAAAGAACTAGCAATCAATGGATTTGTTCAAAATTACACGAAACCTTTCATGAAATCATCAAGGACTATTTTCTGTCAGCAATGGCCAATTGCAAGGCTATATATTCATCTTATAGGCAGTCTGTCCATTCAACTTTTGTAATTAAAAGTGGAAAAGGGCTTTGGGGTTTTTACTAAAAGGCTCATGAATCAGGGGTATAGGTTCTGATAGATTGAGGGTGTAACAGGTCTGGTATGGGGATCTGGGTTTCTGTTTGAGCCCTTTACAAGTTAATAAAAAAAAGAGTCTCCAGATTAGGGAGAGCTATCCGCGAGACATGGACGTAAAGCAATTTCGGCATAACCACATTAAAAATTGCTGGTGTCCTTTAATTTTTTGCAATTTCTTTTTGTTTCAAGATCTTCCTATGTTTTGCTGTCTCTGAACGAGACAAGAACATTTGCTATAGTTGTGGCTAAGACTATGGTGCCGCTGTTAAAAACGCGGCACTGGTGCATCGTCTTTTAATTGGGTCATGTGGCTGTCTACGTGGTTTGGTTGTGCCTTTCTCTAAACCTAGCCCAAACCGGTTGTCCAGCCCCAAACATATGTGAACCGCCCAACTGACCATTTTTTAGCAAAAAAAAAAAAAAAGAAAGAAGAAGAACAAAAACATAAACAAAACAAAAAGTGAAACCCAGAAAAACTCTCGTCTTCTTCCTCGCCCTC